TCTTTAAAACATTTCCTATATCTTGTGCACCATTAAAAAAAATATATACCCAGAGGGTCCTTATATGATGTAAAAAGCACATTTTTCATCCACTAATTTTCTATTATTTTTGAAATTCATTTATAGTAAATGCTAATTGGCCATAATTAATATAAGAATGAAAAATGTTCATTAAAGAGTAAACATGGGAAACAAAATATAGCATCTAAATTATGTGAATATTCACGCCACGAAATAACTTATATCAAGAAACTTAAAAGCTATGTTTATGAGTTTATCGTCAGAGTTCAGATATACAATAAGTTTTGGTGGAAGGGACTGATATTCATATAAGATCATTGAATGATATCTTGTTGATTAGTTGTATAATCCTAAATCTAGTCACACAAATCATGATTACTTTCTAATGTCCTAAGATCAATTTCATTCATTTCCAGATGGGATTACTCGAACCGGTTCTTAGTAATAGGAACACAGGAAGTATGAGTACTTTTATCCAAATGTATCTCTAGTGGATCTTTAGGATCTTGAGAAGAAGTTGCATGTTTTTTTAAGAAATTCATCGATAGTGAACTATCTTTTGATTTTAATGTACATTACATAGCAAAACTAACTTAAAACTAATAAATTGGAAATTAAAATAAAACATACATTTTAACAAGATGTTAAGCATTATAATGAAAATACAAGATCAAATAACAAACTACCGATTAATAAATCCAACATTTTATTATAAATTGTTAATCGTTGGAATATAGTATAGATCTATAAGACTATAACATCTATAATTCATGGGGTTTTCTATCAATTGTTGTTTATGTTGTATATCTTATAGATCTCATTTATGTCGATTGTGGTTTATGTTGTATATATTATAGATCTCATTTGTGTTTGACCACCTTTAGATGATGTTTGTGATTTTAGTGTTACAATGTCATTTTATATAACTGGAACTAACATGTGAGCTAAGGGGCTTCATAATTTGTACTCTAATATATGTACGAGTTGGTGCGGACTGCACGCATGTATAACATCGAATTAGAAGTCGGTTCGACGACAAGTTAGGAGTTCGAGGGCAGCGCCCCTGGGTCCGGGGTTTCCAAAGGGGCGCCCCTTTGGCGGGGTCTAGGGGCAGCGCCCCTAGCGGGGTCCAAGGAGCAGAGCCCCTAGCTGAGAACATAGTAGGAAATTCAGATTCTTGAGGGTGATTATGGTAAAACTAACGAAACTCGTTAGTTTTGATAACCCTAAATCCCTATTAAAATCCGGATTACCTTGACTTGCTTCCAAAGCAACTAATGACGGCCCAACCCTAATGAAACCCTAACCTCGTTTATTATATAAACAGATCTTCCTTATAGGAAAACATATACGAAAATTAGCTCTCGGTTTTCATACACTCACAGAATTTTTCTAGCAATTTGGCTTACGATTTTTGTGCCTAGAATCGTAAGTGTTCACTTTTGATTATCCCAGGCTGAATTTCTTGCAGCCCAGGCATAGGGTAGAAATATCAGTTCGGAAAGTGTTCTCACGATCCAAGTTGGTATCCAGATCTCCACTACAAACCCTATATTTTCCTACAGATGATCCATGATGTATTGAAAATACTAAAAAGTTTAGTGGTTTTTGTGTTTAGTAGTGTTGGGATTTTGAGATGTTATCACTCGTTTGTTGAAGGAAGTCATTTGAAGTTTGGAAGCTTTGTTTCAATTCTCATCTTCTATTTCTTTTAGACCATCCACATTACCACTCTTCTTTCAATTGTGTCATATCATATTTGCAATTACCTCCTACATACGTACAATGCCAACATGCTTTTAAAAGTGGTCCCCACCTCAATAACTACTTTTATAAATATTTTAAATCATTTAGAAATCTAAAGTATTCATTTAATCATCAAATATTAACATACTAAATTGTTAATTAGTTGATAAAAAAAAGTTATATAAATAGTTAATTTACCTTTACGGTTAATTATATATGTATTTACATAACAATAACTTACATATATACTACGTCCAGTGGCGGAACCTCTTGAGGGCTAGGGGAGGCCATGGCCCCCCTGATTTTTGTCATGCTTAATACCAGATTCTGTAATATAAAATTGGTTTTATTTATTGTCTAATTTCTAGCCTCTCACCTTTAGTTATAGAAATAACTAATCAACTATAAAAAAAACAAAAATATACATCTTATTTTATTTGATTATTTCACAGGAAATATAAAGATTAGGAAAGTAATAAATAATTAACAAGAATCCAAAAAGTTACGGGATACATCCAAACGAACTCTAATGAAATTAAGATTTTTATAGATTAAGAAACAAAAATTCTATAAAAACTCATTCTAATATTCAATCTATTAACTCAATATTTAGAAAATACAAACCCTAGATCAATCTTCCGGAAAAACAAAACTTCTCACCGGAAAACATAATACATCCGTCAGACTTCTCACCAGAAGATATTGTTGTTGCGTGTTGCCTCCGTCGGAGTACTCACCACTCCACATCTCTCCGGTCCGCCATTATTGATCGATGTGGCTCTGTCTCTCTAGTCTACCGTTTCAACAACCTGCAATTCCGACGAACAACACTTCCTGTGTCTCCATTTCGCCTTCCGCCGAACTGCAACTTCGACCAGCAACTTATTGGTGTTCATCGCTCTACTCAACCAGATTTCTGAGGTAAGTCTTCATCTCTCTTTTTCTCTTACTAAAAGTATAGAACTCTTTTAAATGTTAAAAGATATATATTAGCCTGACAAGTATTAAAAGATACACCAATTTTAATATTATTTAATTTATTAGTTTCTAAATATTTTAATCTGATTTAATGTATAAGAAAACTTATAAAAGTTACAGAAAAACTCAATTAGTAACTTATAATAATTTGATATATAGTAACGATATGGTAACTTTTTTAATTTTTAGTATTTATTGATTGTTAAAATGTTAGTAAATTTTATTATCTTTTAATTACCTTTAATGTATAATTACAAACTGTATAAACAATATTAAAGTCAATGTAATTAGTGTGGTCAAAATGCAATTGTAAATTGTTATTTTGTTAACTATTAATAAATTATATTATGTAGTCTACATCAAAATAGAATAACAAAATTGATGAAAGAAAATACATGAATAGACACCATCGTTTTGAATGCTTATGCCTAGTGTTCATAAAATTTAACCAAATAAAAATTTGTTTGTCTGTTATTGTTTTAACATTTTGGGTTTGGCCCCCTTGGTTATAAAGCTCGAGTTCCGCCCCTGACTACGTCTTAATAGTATAACCAGAATTACATAGTAATATCTCATATATACTACTAAAAAGAGGAAATGTATTATAAGGGAAAATGGAGTTAGTGATGGAGTCTATGGTCTAAATTGCAAGGTTTTCACATATTGCAAGATCTAAGTTGAGGTGACAATTAAAATTCATTTGCAAGTATATTGCAAGAAGCGATGTGGATGGTCTTACATGTATCATTGGACCGGTTGTTCGTCTACATACCTATATATTTACCTATATATTCGTACTCATTTGATGTTGGTAAGTGAGGGTTTAACTGTTTAAGGTTGTCTTGCTTCGTTTGTTGTCGGCCATCAAGGTAAAATTCGCTAGTATTATTGGAGCAACAACTTTTTTATGTCGAAAGGTACTTGGCAAGAGGAGGAGAATCCTTTTGGGAGTTTGGCTCATTTTTGTTGCTTGTTTGGACATTTTGTTTTGACTTCATGGTTATGGGTGATGATCATGCCGAAGCTCAATGTCATAAATGACATTTATGCTCTTTTCTTGTTTCAAAGCATTATGGTTAGAAGTCCAACTCAACTCAATTTTGTTTAAGATTGGTACTTGAAGAAGCTTGTTTTGTTGAAGTAACTCAAAATTTTCAAGATGGAACCTTATTTATGATTTTCATTATGTGAAAATCAACTCAGACATGAAATTCTATTTTGATATTATACTTTAAAAAGAGGGAAATTAAGAAATCTAACCACTTTTTAATGTGTATTTGAAGATAATAACAAAAAAAATTAACAAAAATAACCACTTTGTCGGACATTCCCGACTAAGAAAAAACATTTTTTTTTACCGATTCCAAAACGGCATTCCGGATTCCGAACTAAAATTTCGGACTTCATAAAAAAATACTGTGGAATTTTAAGAAAAAAAAATCATTTTTTGCTTAATTTGACAAAAAATTAAACAAACATAGTTATATGAATACTTACATTGGTGCACAAAGTTAGACATTTTATTAAAAAACGACGACATAAAATATTACAAAATGTAGCATTAGGAATCCAAAAAAAAACAAAGAAAATATCTTTGAAAATAAAATAAAATAAAATAAAAAAAGAATCCCGAAATATGAACAATTACTCTGGCATGAGGGCATTCCAGAGAAAGTAAAAAATATCCGATAAAATCCTAATATTTTGAATCAAATTACGGTTTAATCTCACAATTTATTTTTTGAATAAAAAAGTCCCGATTATATTAGAATCAAATTACGGTTTAATCTCACAATTTATTTTTTGAATAAAAAAGTCCCGATTTTATACGATCATGTCATTTTTGTTGAAAAAAATAAAGGTTATATCATTAATTTGAACAAAATACAAAAAAATCAAAACTTTTATGTTCAAAAAATAAAAGTTTAGATTAAACCGTAAATTGTCTCAAAATATTTGGACTTTATAAGAGATTTTCTTTTTTTTTAAACCTCATTTATAATGGTTAGATTACTCAATTTCCTTTAAAAAAACTACTTTTATATGAAAATATCCATAATTAACGAAACCCTAGAGTTTTATATTGTATTTTGTTAGGATTGCTCGTATTTTGCATATACATATAGGTGTTCCTTATCATATGTAGACATGAGAAGCACTTGGAGCAATTTGAGAGATCAAATTTGTTAGTTGCATATTTCGTGAATTTAGTGATTTTGTTCGGTATGTTTTCTCAAATCATCATCTTGGGAGATACCTGTAATACTTTGCTATTAAACATGTAAAAAAATTGGTAAAACAAGAGAATTATATTATCAAATCTTGTCACGTAAAAAAAATCACTAACTGATATATACTAGAATTTTCTAGTAAAAAACTACGTGGTTTCACGACCCTTTGGATTTGGAGAACCGATAACAAGACCAGGTGCCTTTGCCGGATGACCTTTAGCACCACCACCACCGCCACCGCCGCCAGCCTGTCCGCCTGAGCTTTTCAAATTTGGCGTCTCAGCAGCAGCAATCGACTTCTTAATCTAAAAAATTAAAAATAAATTATTATTTAATTTTTTTATTAAAAATTAATAAATTCAAGCAAAGTGTCGTAGAGTATTTTATATACCGCAGCTAGTCGCTCTCGATGAACATCATTACCAAACTGAAACCAGCACACACAAATATCAAAAACTCAAATGTTACATGTAAAGAAAATTACCTTTTTGATCCCTGAGTATTGTATTTTTTGCAATTTTGGTCCCAACAAGTTTTTTCTTGCAATTTTGGTACGTATTTGGGATTTTTGTAACGTTTTTGGTCCATATAGCTGATTTTTGCAATTTTGGTCCCAATAAGATAGTCATGTTACTTGGAACAAAGTACAAAAAACATTACAAAAACCTTAAAGTAGGACAAAAATTGCAAGAAAAAAAATCTTTGGGACCAAAACCACAAAAATCAGCTATAGTCAGGGACCAAAAATGTAATTTACTGTTTTTTTATGTGTAAAAAAATTGCATAATGCTTGAGAGTCTTTACTGGTTTCTTGTAGCACTTGATTTCATCTCCACCAAACCCAGGGAGACTCATGTTCCAGTTTTTTTCTGAAAAAAAGCAACCCATTTTTAGGTTTAATTCAGAATTTTAAATTTAAAGTAAAGAAATATATTTTGGGATTAATTTTTTTTAGTTCTAACCCAGATGTAGAAGAATGTCCTTTGACTCCAAAGTATTTGATTTCCGATGTTTGGCTAGAGAGCATGCATAGGTTGTAATCTGGAACAAGTAGACAAATGAAACAAATAAGAAAAAAAAATAACTTTTTTTGTATAAAAGATCCCAGTTCACTACATAATACAAGCAAAATCTTTAAAAAAACATTTTGTCAAGTACATTTTACTACTAAAATATTTAGGGAAGATGGAACTCACAGATTCAACAAAATCATCAGCAATATCAACAAGAATGTCATCCACTTCAGGATCCAATCTTTCACCTGGATCAATCTGTCCATTACAGATACCCAAAAAAGAATTTTCAACAGTTTCAATTGTTATATTATATGTAGCATTTCATATGAAAGAAAATGATGAAAGATGCTTACTTGAGCAACTATTTCATGGATGCTTCTTTTGCTTATAATCCTATTACAAGGCTCACTAGCTTCCATGCCAGCTGGTGCTCTGTTAAACACAGGTGGCGGTGCCACCCCGCTAGGCGGCCCACCACCAGGAGCAAACGGTCTTTGGTTCCCTAACCCACGGTTTCTTGCCAGCTGTTGCTGATGTGTCAAAGTTTGTGGGACCCGTGATGGTGGTAATGTGTAATGTTCTTGTGGCTGTTGTGTTAATGAAGATGGTTGTGACTGTAAAGATGAGGAGATTTGAGGTTGATTTGTGGATGTTGAGATGGGGTTTTGTGGTTGTGATGGTAAGTGGGATCGGTTCAGTAATGATTGAGGACTTATTTGTGGTCTGAATGATGGTGGTGCAAGAGGAGGCTTGCCTTGTGAGGTGGATGATAGCCATGGTTGATTATGAGGTTGTGAGGTTTGTGGTGTAGTGGGTGAAGGTGTTCCTGGTGATCCAACTGATGGAAGTCTTAAAAGACCATGATCTTGAAAATTCTGCAGATAAGATGATCATAACTTGACATCATCATCAATGATCAATCTAGTGCATTTATATGTATCGTGAATGTAATGTAGCATTACAATTTGATATTAGAACAGGAGAGACAAAAGCACTAACTTGTGATGCAGTCTGATTATTAGCACCTGTCTGTGGTCTAAGAGAAGATTGCAGAGGTCTCTGTGGATGCGATGCAGGAACTCCGCTTGGTCGCAGTGAAGAATTGGAACCAAGAGATACCATCATTCCTACTCCCGGCATTCCAGATATCGATTGCCTCACCTTGAATATATATACAGATGTTAATGTTGGAGACAACAAATTGTGATAGTGAAATTAGGGTAGAAGGAAATTGGCATACCTGCGGAGTACTAGTACTGGTTGCAGATTCGGGCATACTAACAGTACCAGGACGACCTAATCCTCCACCAAACTGCGAACCAAACGAAGATGGAGTCAATGACGAAAACGAAGTGGGAGGCTGCGGAGAAGGACCATGTGCAGGAACTCCTATGGCCATCCCACCCCTCTGTGGCGGTGGGATCGAAGTTAATGAAGAGGAAGGGGCGGTGGAATGGTTGGTTATGGAAGAAAAGTGAGGGAAAGGAGGAGGATTTTGTTGCCAAGGGCGGCTAAATGGGGTTCGTAACATCGGGTTTAGGGGTTGGGGTTGCAATGGCTGTGATATCGGTGGATTTGGGTGTTTAGGGTTAGGGTTTGGGTTTACGTAAGGAGGAAGTGCTTGTAATGAAGATGAAGATGAGGTGGTCGAGAGCGGTTGCGGTTGAGAATTTTGTGGTTGTTCAGGTGACGTGGTGGTGATAGGTGGTGTAGTGGATGCTGGTGGCGGTTCCGACGACGGAGGCTGTGTTTGCTCCATCGGATTGACGGGTGCGATAGTTTCCACGGTGCTACTTTTAAATGTTAGGATTTGGGTTTATTGGAGAGGGGTGACCGACTAACCCGGTTTATTAAAAATTGTTTATGTTTAGAATAACAAACTTTTAATTTTGTTCAAAAAAAAATAGTATTAAATTTATATTTTTGTATATTATACTATTAAATGTATTAAAGATGTTTAAAAAACATCATTATCATTTGTTGCAGCATGTTTGTTTGGTTTTTAGTAAAAAAAATGTTAACATGGATATTACATAGGAGGATAGAGTGTCTCTTCATTTTTCCTAACTGAAAGAACCAGAATAACCAAAAACCATAAATGAAGATTTGGTTGAACCAAAAGATCGGACCGATATAAGTGAACTGATAGCGGTTCAGTTTACGGTACGAGATCAATTATATCTAGTTTGGAACGGGTTAATACTGAAAAAAGCTATAATCAATTGGAAACGGAAATATTTGAAAATTGGGTTATCGGAAATAACAAAAAATCGAGACATTTTCGGTAAATAAAATGTGTAAATGAGTTGTTAGGTACTTTTTGGATGGATCTATCACAACAACAATGGATCTCATTAAGATGTGGTAGGAGGAGGTAGACGTCAACAGTCGTGCATCTATATAGAGAGAAAAATGATTGTGTCACTTAAATGACCTTCGGCATGTGTAGTTGGTACCTTTAAAAAAGACAAATAAGGAAGATGAAAAAACAACATTAACAACAAGACATAAATATAAAGGAAATTAAATTTAGAGCATATGGATCTAAGAACTTGCAAAATAAGGCAAACAAGGGGTAAATGTTCGTGAGCAATAAAGCTAATGCATAGCTAAATCAAGAAAACAAACATATGTGCCCAAGTATATTTTAATAAAATTGAACAATAAACCAAACATATATAGGGGAGATGCTACCCATCAACCTTAATGTGTAGTCTCCATATTGTCTTATATTATGTCATGTCCTCGAAAGGACCAAACTCTTCCATGTCGGGCCTTACACTATCCTTCCATTTTCTTTTATGGCTTTCTCTCCTCCTCTTACACTCAATCATCATTTAGTTCATCTTCATCGTTACTAATGGAAGCCTCTTATGGACATGTCCATACCACCACAAATCGTGCTTCCCTTAATTTTTTGGTGATTCGTGCCATTTGCACTAAGCTTCTTATAGTCGCATTCGATATCCTATCCAATAACGTTCTACCGTAAGTCCATCCCAACATCCTTATTTCTACAACTTCCATCTTTCTCTCTTGGTCCTTCTTAGCCGACCAACATTCAGATTCATACATCATTGCAGACCTAACTGCTACCCTATAAAATCCCCCTTAAGTTTCCTCATATATAAAACTCCACATGACGCCCTCAATTTTAACCAACCTACATTTATGTGATGGGAGACGAAAGGGAAAGTGAGAGAGACGGCGAGGAAGACGGAGGATGAGTGGCGATGCCACGTTCACATAGGATGAGCCCGGGGAAGCACGTGTACACCGAAGAAACCAATAAAAGAGAAGCACGTCAAAAGAAAATATAAAAGAAACATCATCTTTCTGTCAAAATATATATATATATATATATATATATATATATATATATATATATATCTTACTATATTATTATACAAACCTTACTATTTCTAAAAATAGATTTAAGACGTTCAAGTGTTTAAACACAATGTACAATATCTAATGCATTATATATCTTATGTGTATCAAAGACCCCCTTAAGTCTCGCATATTGTTTCCTCCATAGGCCATATATCATTTTATCTTTTTTGACGTGGCCTTTATTTTTCATTTGAATTCCCACTTAAAACTAAGTCAAACACGTTTGGATTCAGTAGACGGTTTCCTCAATCCCGCACACTAATCTCGGCCCCAATATAGCTCTCCCATATTTGATCCTTCCATCTCCCTTATTTAATCCCTCCATCTCCCTTTATCTCCAAAAAAAATATCAGTTTGAAGATTTCATTCAGATTCCTTTTCGCTTGCCTTTCTCACACTCAACGCAAACCCTAACATCGATGATGACGAAGAACTTTCTCGGATGGCCACTGTCGGATGGCCACTGGTCGCAAGGTGAGAACCCCTCTAATGGATATATCATAAAGCTTGCTAACGATGTTTTATTTTATAGGGTTTCTAATCTATGCCTTTTCATTCTTCATACCTTCACCTTCATCTGTCGTCGCCTTCTACCCGAATCTCATCTCACATGATACATTGCAGGTAATCGTCAAACAAAAAGCTTAAATTTGAAATTCTTTGTCTCGTTAAATCAGTTAGGTTTTGCGATTTTTTATTCCAAATCAATACCAGGAAAAGTGCAATTGACGTTGCCGCTCATGCCTTTCCTCGCGTTGCCATCATCCATTGTGGATGGTAGGGTTTGTGTGGAGACTGCTTGGCATGAAATTCTTGCTCAGTTAACTTGATTCTCTCTGGATATTGAAGCTTTCACCATAATTGAGTGAACATAAAGATGGCAAATCTTTCACCATCGATGAAAATTGAACACCACTGCAGTCATTCGGATTTTGTAATTCCTGGTAAAATATTATTACATGTATACTCGTTTTCATAAAATTCCTAACCTCTCTTTAATTCTCTTTCTTTTCAGTTTTGGGCGTAGAGGGAGTTTTGGGAGTAGAGGGGTGATTAGATGGTGAGTCTTTTGATTATACATGACTTGATTCTTAATTATCTGCAACTGATGAAGGGGGATTCCCCAAAACTGGATGAAATGTTGCATTTTAGAAGTCATATAATCTGTAATTTTTAGGGGAACTGGAACATCTATTCTAAAAATATATTTTAGAGAATGATTAGATCCATAAGTTCTAGGGTAACATGAAATGCTATTCTTATAATACATTCGCTTTAATGTTTAAAAAATATTTGTATCAATGTTGAGGGTTTAAGGTATTAGGCTTTCTATATGACTATTAATTGTGGTTGTGCAACATCAATTTTGGTGAAGCAGTTAAGAGAGTTAGTGATTTTGGACTTTCATGTAATTTCTCTCAGGCCCATTTATTTTTGTTCTTTTTTGTTTAAATTTCATTTATGCTACTTCGTTTATATATTTTGTTTGACATGTACAGATTTAGATTCTTAAAGATTGAGATGGAGCATGATGTCGGTTAAATCTTCTTCACTACTCTTATTTTCTCTACGGATGAGTGGCTACAGGTTTGTGGTTTTCTTGCTATATCTCCCTAAAGGCTAAAGCTTTCTTATAATTTTCTTATGGTTGTTGTTTTGGCCCAATGTTGTTTGTCTCATTGCTGCCGTTTTGCCAAGTTTTCAAACACTTCGACCATTTTACCTCCATTTGGTTGTTCCTGCTGTGGTATTTGATTGGTATCATATTACCAAGTTTCCATCACTCATTTCTCCAACTTTTTAAGACACCATACTTCCAGTTTCCAAGGTTTGGCTTTGGTCACGACCTCCTGTTGAGCATACGCCACTTCCTAAGAAGAGAAATAAGTCATGAACTATGTGTTTTATGCTTGAAATGAACATTATGTTTGTTAATGTTTATGGATTAAATCTAACTGCAACAATCGTCTTTTGTAGCCAACTAGGTAAGCTTGCGTAAGTTCATTTATATTGTTTTGGATATGATTGTAAGATTTCAGCGTAATAGTGTCCAGCTTGCATAAGTTGGTTTATTTTGTTCTGTTTTGGATATGATTTTACAGGACATATTCCGAAGAAAGTGTTTCACTTTTTCAGGTTTCTGTGACAAAATTCAAGTAATATTTCTTCGTGTTTTTTAATGAATATATGATCAGAACTTTGAATTTACATTGTATAGTGATATCGCAATAATTATACATATATTTCGAGCGATATTTATGTATTTTTAGCTATATTTTGGTATGATTTAAGATAAAAGGTACTTATAAAGTTTGAAATTCCATTTTACAGCTAAAAATCATTTCTGAAGAAAAAGGAGAAGAAAATGTGCAAAAATCCGCAAAAAGAAGTGAAAGAAATTACACGAAGAAAAACGAGATCAAAAAGTCAAAGAATTCAAAAATAGCCGCGTTGGAAAGACGAGAAAACAAAATAAAAATCTAAAAAAAAGAATTTAAATTAATTAATGAGGTTTAATTAAAATAAATTATTGGGAATTAATTATTTAATTTCTAAATAATTTATATTAATTAAATTAATTTAATTTGCAAAAAAAAAAAAAAAAAAAATTAAAAGAAACAAAACTCGGAATGAGCCCAAATTCGGAGCCCAAAACCTGGAGCCCAAACCCGGAGCCCAAGTCTCGATTCGCGACCCTGACCCAGATCCGGAAAAGGCGAGACTCGAAGTCCGAAAGATCCTACCCGCGTCCACATACACTCACAGCCATATCCGATTATTCTGATCCGGTACCCGGCTCCGATCCGGGTTCGGATCCGCGCTTTTTATCGCTTATGACGTCATTCGTGACGTCATTCACGCGATCCATGAACAGACTTCGATCCAGGCTCCGACCCGACTCCGATTCGTTTCCTGTCACATAAAGTCCGCGTGTCGACCCGTTCCGACCCGGTTTCCGACCCAGAATTCGATCCGGTACTGTTCAATAGCTAAACGACGTCGTTTTATGCTCCAGATTTGCCAATTCCGATTCCATTCCATTTTTAACCATTTTTTCTCCACTTTTTCCTATTTTAAACCCATTCCTTTCCAACCAATACTCAATAATTCACCACCTTTAAACTTTCCAACCTTTTATTCCCATCTTTTTAATTCTTTTTAATTCTTTTTCATTAGATCCAATCTCAATTTATTTCTTTTTGGTATTTAATTCTCCCAATTTTTACTATAAATACCACCATTTTTCACCAAAAAAAAAAAGAAAAGAAAAGAGAAGACATTGCAATTATGCATTTTGATACACAAATTTCTTCCAACCTTTGAACCAATTTTCTACAATTGGGGATTCAAGAGTCAAAGAGCTAAGGAATTGAAGATTGCAGTGGCATTAGGGACTACATCGGGTTCGTTTTATCGAAATGTTTAACATTCTC